TATATATATATATTTATATACGCAATTTTTAGAGCTCCTGTTCCTTTTGATTTTAAAGATACAGTACACAGAACTAGTTCTTTATAGTGCAGTGAGAGAGCTCATTCCATATGGCTAATTTTAATTGGATATTTACCTTAAAAAACAAATGCAAATGAACAGGAAAAATGTCTTCCTATAGACACTGCAGTGGCAGCAAAGCAATATTATTAACAATTGTTCCTACTGTTAAGACTTCATTTTCTCTAATATTAAAGTTCTACATTAGAGAAGGAAATATTGTTAATATTTATTCTATCATCACTATGCCAAAGGCTTGAAATGAACACTCGTATTTTCATTGTTACTAGAAGCCTGAGGCGCTTACCTTTCAGCACGCAAGACACCACTGTAGTACGGATGATCCCAAGGCATCAATTTCTGAAACAAAAAGTTCCAATTTATAATTTATATAACTGACATCAAGCAAAAGATGAAGGTTTCATTTTCTTTACATAAACCAGCATTTTGTCAAACCACTTTCAGTAACAGGAAGCACCCAGATCTGACTACTTTATCAGAATTATCATATCACAAGATTTAAGTAATTTACATGTGTTTGTGTTAAGATGACATTTATTTTAAATATATTATGGGATTACAAGACAGATGTACAGCCTGCATGGAAAAAATTGTTTTATTCATGGACAAAATGAGTTTATGTGCAAAAGAATAAAAGCATGTCAACATGCTAATTGGACATGCATGTTTTTGGAAGTATAGATCGTATTTTAAGGTTAATTTCAAACATTGTTTTCAATGCTCAAAATAAGACATTACATTTTCCATATCAATTTTTGGTTGTTAGATACATCATTATTTTGTGTAAGCCACAAATTCATTTTCAATGTTTGCTCTTAATGGTATTAACAACACAAAACTTCAAAAGCCAGAAAGACAAGCAAACCACTACTCATAATTGTAAAGATCAAACTTATTTTCTCACTTTGAGGTATAGCTAGTTTGTATTATTCAGAAAGTAAAGACAACAAGTGTACAATAGAACAACTCACTGAATTTTGGGGATTTATTTTCATTTTCATCTCTGCCATCATTTCAAAATCTTTTTGAGTTCTGTAAAACAATTTCACCATTAAAAGTTTTTTAGCAAATACAAGACAGTGTAATGACAACTGATCTTTTATTCTGTATAGCTTATAAATTCATACTCATTCCAACAAAATGTCCGCAGCACATCAAGAGAAATGGGCTGCGTTCTGAAGTTCACTGCAGTGAAGCTTTCTTCACCCTGCTCTTCCCAGTTTAGGTACCCTCACGTTAACTCCTACGTATGTTTTCCAAGTTGTACTATTCTTATCCCCCATAGTCCTACTTAGCACCCATTTTATGTCCCATAAGGCCATTTATTTTCATCTGTTTTGCAAAACAATGGAGTGAGAGTAAAAGGTCTGATCATGGATGTAGGGATACCTAATGGGTCAGCACTTAATTGGCTTCCCCTGAGCTGTTGCCTGGTTGCACATCATTTGCTGCTGTCACTCTTATGCATTCTGCAGTCACCTTTATAATAGGATTCCTGCCAGAACTAAAGGCTGTTTAAAAAAAAACAAGAGAACAGCTTATTTCCTACTTCTACTTATCATAAGAGGCAATGTAGAAAAATAAACATTTCTAAAAGCACGTCATGCTGTTTAGTACAATAGCATAAAAATGATGTTGTAGCCATGATGGTCCACAAATTATGTGATGGATTTCTTAAATTAATATTTTTTATTGGACCAACTATGTATTTGGGCTAAAGTTAAACAAGCTTTCAAATGCAAGACATTCTTTATCAGGTCTTCTGAATATTACTTGAATGCAAGACATTTTTCATCAGGACCTGACAAAGAATGTCTTGCATTTAAAATCTTGCCTAACTTTATGCTAACTATATAGTTGGCCTAATAAAAGATACTATCCTAAGACATCCTTGCTTCATATGTGCTATTTAGTAAAATCTTAACATTCTAAAAATGAATTCTAGTTTTGAAGGAAAAAATAATAATATAACAGTAACAAATTTAAAGCGTTTTCAAATAGCTATAACTGCCATAACAGTCTTGGCTTGCATACAAAATCTCCAATTTTAATTTAAAAATTTTAAAGAATAAATTAATGAAAACCAGACTCACCGCTGAGATAACCTGTCAGAAAGTTTTTCCAGAAAATGCATTACGTTCTCTAAAAGAAAAACAAAATAAATAAATGAATTTACTAAATAAGGTGACGATTACTCCCTTTATTATGTCAGTTCAGGCCAAATAACAGATCAAACAAACAGTAAAATGTATTGTCTAGAATAAATCTTTATCTTATTTATTGAAATTATTATATGGGTTCCATAGCCTCTGAGAACATGAGGATTTTCAAAGTAGCTGAGGATTTACAGAGCTACAGCAAAAAAGTTGCACAGGACCACTGAGTGCTCCAGCTGAATGGAAAAGTGGTGCTCTTTGAAGTAAAAGATGCAAGCAAGGGACAGTGCAGCTCATCCTTCACTCAGCTACCTGTTACAAACCATATGGATATCAAAGATCCAGGTTCTACTTTACTACTTATTGAAAAATAAGCGGCAGTTTATTCAGGGATGACTGGAGTAGGGGGGCAGACCAGACGACCTCATGAAGTCCCTTCCAGCCCTACTTTCATATAATCCTATAAGATTTTAATCAACAAGATGTAACTGTAATAAGGCACGCCACTGAACTGTGCCATATTAACACACAAATTGAATGAACAACATTTATTCTTCTGCATTAACAAAACACATTCCACTTTTTGCTATATCTAAACATTCACTGATTTTACCTGGAGTTTTGGCCATTGTTCCTTGAAGAGCCCTGTGGGCAAATGTGTTATATCCAACTAATTGGGCCAGATGGTTTCGGCTAGAAAGCAATTCTTCTAAGCAGTTAAACTGATGGGCATTTGGGTAAAGAAAAATCTTGTAAGCAGCTTCTCGTACCTAAAAGAAAATGAACAAATATTCATGATAACATAACTCATAAGAAAAACCAGTAATTTTTTTCTTGTCGAAACAATGAAAGGCTAAGTATCACAACCATACTGAATTAGTATTAAACAATAGGCCTGTGTGAAGAGGCAAGTATTTACTTCGGATTCAGCCGATTCGGAGGACAGTGATACGATTCAGAAATTCGAATCACTGTCCTAAAAATCAGTTCAGCCGAAAGATTTGGCGCCGCTTTGGAGATTTGGCCATAGACTAAACAGGCAGTTGATGCGTTACTCGGGGGGACGGGGGGAAGGGATGTGGGCACAGTAGCACCGGGAGCAGGGGCTCTGCCCTGCTGCTGCTTTGCCCACCCTGGCTGTGCAAGGGGGGTTGCAGGCACGGCTCACTCCAGGTGGAAGGGAGCAAGCAGCAGCAGGGCATAGCCCCCGCTCCCAGTGCTGCCACACCCACATCCCGTGCTGCCCCCACTGGCTAGCAAGCAGTGGCAGTGCAGAGTCCCTGAGCCCAGTGCTGATGCAGGCACAATGCCCTTGCTTGCCCCTTCCACCTGGAGCTAGCCACACCTGCATTGCACCCCCCACCCCATCCCAGCTGGGCAAGCAGCAGCGGGGCAGAGCCCCCGCTCCCGGCACTGCCACACCTGCATCAGCGCTGGGAGCACAGGCTCTGTGCTATCACCGCTTGCCAGCCGGCACAAAAGACCAGGCACTGCCGCCACTTGCCAGCCAGTGTGGAGGTGGTGCAAGATGCGGGTGAGGCAGTGCTGGGAGCAGGGGCTATGCCCTGCTGCTGCTTGCTCCCTTCCACTTGAAGCGAGCCGTGTCCACATCCCACCCCCCACCGCGGGCTGGGCAAGCGGTAGCAGGCCAGAGCCCCCGCTCCAAACACTGCTGCACCTGCATCTGGCACCCCTCCCCTCCCCGAGTCTTGCACCCCCCACACCAGCTGGGCAGCTTGTCCCAGCCCCAGCCGCACCCCTCCCTCCACCAGCCTCAACAGACTTACCAGCTGGAGGCAGCTGTATCAGCTGCCTGTTTAGTCTATGGCTGAATCTTTTCTGAATCTTTTTCCAAATCGATTCGGATTCAGTAATAGGGCAAATAATACTCTGACACGTGTGAATTGATGCATCTCCAGCAAAGCCAAGGAGGTGATTCTTCCGCTCTGCTCAGCACTGGTGAGAGCACAGCTGGAGTACTGCATCCAGTTCTGGGCACCACACTTGAACAAGGACATGGACAAGCTTGACAGAGTCCAAAGAAGAGCCACCCATATGATCAGAGTCTTACATGGCTAGCCATGAGGAAAGGCTGAGGGATATGGGGCCCTTCAGACTGAGGAAAAGAAGGCTGAGGGGGGACCTGGCAGCAGCTTACTAGGGGAGTACATCAAGGGCTCAGTGAGCAACTGTTCACCAGGACACCCGAGGGGAAAACCAGGAGTAATGGCCACAAAACTCCTGGAAGACCGATTCAGGCTCAACATTAGGAAAAACTTCTTCGCAGTCAGGGTGGCCAGACTGTGGAATAAGCTCCCTCCAGAGGTGGTGCAATCACCTACCCTTGAAATCTTTGAGAGGAGACAAGACAGTCACCTTGCTGGGATCACCTGACACCCAGTTATCTTTCCTGCTTGGTGGAGGGGGCTGGACCCAATGATCTTCTGAGGTCCCTTCTGGCCTTACAATCTATGAATCTATGGATGCTTTGAATCAATTCTGAGCTTTTAACTGGGCTCCCAATTCGATTCGGAGACTCAGTCCCCGAATCTGGCCAAATCTCCTCTGAATCAAATTGGCTACCAAAGCTTTGCACAGCCCTATTAAACAACTTTTTAAAGTCTAATAAGCCTTATTTTGTGGAATGGGAGCATATAAATTTAAGTAAATAAATAAATACATAAATAAATAGCAATTACAACTGAGGGCTATCACTCTCTTATTTATTAGAAAAAGGGAGAGGTAAAGACTACCTGCTTAACCTCCTACTATTTGTGATCCATTTTATATCCCTCAAAACAAGGTCATCCAAAACATTCAGCACAAATTTGTGGAACAAAAACATAATATTTTACTACCCGAGATGTCTCTGTATTTTTACTGGAAGAGCCTGCTCTATTTAAACAAGCCCACCTTCAAGCTATGCTACCTTCTTATTTTAAAATCTCTGATAATGCAAAATGAGTAAGAGAAAATGAAAAGGTAAAGTTCAACTGCAATAGCAACATTACCAAATGATAAAATCATCTCATCACCATGGATATAGATACTTATATAATTATTCCTCATTCAACTGACAAGTTATATTTTGAATTCTACACCTCTGCTGGACTAATTATAAATAAAGAATTTAAACATAGAACAACTTACTTTTACCCTTCCCAGAAATAAACAGTTAAAAATGATTTTATATGAGATATTACTTAACTACATAGAAGATTCTTAACTGTGGCAGTTTCCTGCAACTTAGTTTTAAGGTCACGCTCAAAAAAAAGAAAGGGGGGGGGGGCAAGTCAGTCAGACTTTAAAGCATCCAAACTACCCACTAATTTATAAGCATACTTATAAAAGATGCCATAAAAGGAATTTAATAAAGAACAAGAGTAAGCATTGTTTGTGTTTAAAAACAGTTTTGGTAACATGGGATCACCAACTATCTTTGGTCTACGTTCATATAAAAATTAAACAGCTGTATATGGAACAGCCTGAGTCACTACCATTAACACTTCTGAACTAATTTGTTTTGAGAAGAGCAAAATAAATATCACTTAAATCCTAACCTGAAGTTCTTGTTCCCTATTTTTAGCTGTCTACACCCTAAGAGTCTATCACCTAAAATGAAAATTGCACCTTCCTACTCTGGGCATGGTGCAGTGAAGCTAGATAATACATACCAGATCATCTGGACAATCTGCATGCAAACCAGAGATTTGTACGTAGTTTCCATCAACTAAGAAGTTGTAGCAAATGTGTTCTGGCAAATTGCACTTGTCAATCTTGTTGGGAAGATGAGTTCCCATAAGAAATTCATTACACAAATCCAATATTCGGACATTAAGGTTCACAGCCTTTTTACGCTGTAGGAGAAAAAATATGAAATATACATTCCCTTAAAACATAGTACAAGTAACTCTCAGTGTTCCACAGCCATAGAAGACAATTTATACAACTAAACTATATCACGGCTTATATCCAGCAAATATTTATTTACTTAGGATCAGGCCTGTGATATAAATGAAATCCTGATTAGACCTGATTCTGTGCAAAGGGAGTATGAGTTTTACAAATGACTTTAATGAGAAGATCAAAATGTTGTCCATGTGTTTGCATATCTTATATATAAAATACAAATACATACACACACACTTCATAAAGGTTTGTCTTTTAGAAGAAAACGCGTTAAAATAGATTCTGGGTAGCTTTTATGCCTTTTATAATGTATAAGTGGTAAATAGTTCTAAAATTCTGACACACACAAATTACTCCGCAGGTGACCCACAAGAAACAGGGCAGCAGTAAAAGAATAAATTATGGAAACATCAGCTACACCAGCAGTTACCACTGATGGACTATGTAACACTCAGGTCTGATCATCTTACATTTATATTGCCCTACTTCCTAAATACCACAAGCTGCTAGGTGGTATATATAGATATGCAAAAAAAATGCAATCCCTAACCTAAAGAATTTATAATCCAAGATTCTTTCCTGCAAATGGTTACATACAGACTTAACTTCACTATTGTAAGTAGTCCCATTTGCTTCAACAAGTCTACTTCTAATGCCAAAGTTAAGAACAGTCTTGGCTGTAAAAGCTACCTATAAACAGACAAAACAGGAGCGAGTTGGGAGAAAGGATATGAAATACTCATAAAGCGTCAAACACAAAAGTGAGAAGGACATGTCATAATATTTCCATCTATCTTTATCCCTATCTTTTAAAATAAAAGATACTTGGTTTTTGTTTTTGTTTTTTCGGGGGGGGGGGGGGGGGCTTTGGATTTTTTTTTTTGTAGGGATAAAGCAAGATTGAGGTGGGAGACAGGAAGAAATTATTGGAGTCTGATGGGAGAAATAAAAATTAGCCTGACAAAAAAACAAATGGTAAAAAGGTGAGTTGGCAGGGAAAGAAAGAAGCAAAAGAGGAAAGTGTGGATGGACAGGTGAAAGCTGGCAGTAGTGGATGAAAGGCAAAATGAAGTGAGACCAATAATCATTAGCATAAACACAACTGAGAAATAAAATTCAGCAGTCAAGTTTCAAATTTCAATGGATGATGTCAGAACTCGTGAGGACATATTCCAGCTGCTACTCAAAAGCACAAATCTTGTTTTCAGATATTATATCACATTATAGATGTTTAGGTTATACTAAATACTATTCCCTAAATTTATGTCTCTGCAACACAGGTCTGTAGCTGCCAAAGAAATGCTAAGTAGCACGAGTAAGATTAGGGAGACGTAGCTAGCTGTATTAGTCTGAAATAAAAAAGGTGACAGGGTAGATTTGAACCTTATCTATCCAAGGAAGTGGGTATTTCCCATGCTTCTGGACTTTACTGGCTGCTCCTGCTCCCCTTCCCACTTTTTTCCTTGCTATGTGTCATCGTGTTTTTAAACCTCCCCAGAGGCATTGGGTGTTGGCTACAACTAAGGCTGAGGACTATGACTGGGGTGTGCCAATTCTCCTACTCCAGGAGTGGGCAATATACGGCCTGCAGGCCTGATGTGGCCTGCAAGGCCTTCTACCTGGCCCGCGGGACCCCTAAAACAATGTAGAAAATTAATATTTCTCTGCCCTTGGTTCCTGTCAAAAATGACAGGAACCAAGGGCAGTAAGACCCAGGGGAAGCCCGGCGGGCTCCAACAACAGCGGGGCCACCTGGCCCCAGCTGGAAGCCCCAGCAGGTGTTTCTGGGCTGGGAGCATGTGGCTGCCCCACACGGGAAGCTCAGGTAAGTGAGGGGGGGACCCCAGGCAAGGAAGGAGTGCGGGAGGGAAGCGCGGCTCCTTCCCACCCACACCCAGTGCCCCACGCTGCAGCTGCTTGCAGCCCAGGTGGGGCTGCCTGTACCTGTTCCGGACAGCCGCATTCTGTCCGGAGCGAGCGCCTGCAGCGTGGGGCACTGGGCGGGGGGAGGAGCTGCTTCCCCCCACGCTCAGCTTTTCCCTGGGCTCCTTCCCTGCACGGAGCAAAGCAACCCCTCGCCCACCCCATGCCCAGCAGCCCGCACTGCAGGCACTTGCAGCCCACGCAGGGCTGTCTGGAGCAGGCACAGGCAGCCCCAGGCAGGCTGCGAGCGGCTGCAGTGCGGGGCACTGGGCATTGGTGGGGAGGGGCTGCTTTCTCCACCCACCCCCTGCGCTTAGTACCAGCTTGTAACCCGCCCCACTGCCAGGCTGGCAGTGGGGCGGGTTACAAGCTGGGGCTGGGGG